TGGTTTTACTTAAGGGACTTTCTCTGGTCTTACTCAAAAATTCCCCCAGTAGAGTTTTCAGTTCACAAGCAGAGACACGTCCATTACCGTTTGGACTTCTCTAAATAATTCTCACTCAAGGAACCTCAGCCAATAGCCCAGAATAAGTGGATGAGTGACACTGTTAACTTCTCTCAGGCCAACTCTGTCGTGAACTGTTTAAATGAATGCATCTTCTTTCAAAATGAAGTCTTCCATTTGGCTGCATGAGGGTAAAGTATCTATGAAAAGTTTTAAGTTGTCAGTTAAAGGAAAGCTGGAGTTACAGAGCCAGCTCTCAACACTGTTGCTGTCAATTTTGATTTCAGTTGACCTTTTTCCTTCTCAGTTCTGGTTTGAAATTTGTGTCCTGTCTAGATCTTAGACCGCTGTGTCTGAGGAGTGCATGTGGGGGTTGAAGATTTTAGAAACAATGAGAGATGGAGAAAAGGAAAACAGAGACACTCTTGAAGCAATAGAGTAGAGCAACCTTAGCACCTCCAATGCTGTCTGTTCAGTGGACATGACTCCCTCCAAATTCATAGACCCAACGAAGGCACATGGTCCAGGGTAGGGCAACACAGTGAGAACTAGAAGGCCTACAGGAGCAGGGCAGCAGACTTTTCTCCTGGGGATCTCAACTCCATACCTACAAAACACTGTACTGTATGGGTGAGAACATGTCTGGGGGTTGTAGCAGGGGAGCGCAGCTACTTAGGCACCCTTGACCAAACAACGGCCTGTCTCTACTCCAGGAAGGCTGCCTCTTTGACCTGCACAGCTGTGGGAGAGACACACTTGGGGGAGGAAGGGGCCACCGCCTAGCCAGCCACCAACAGGATCAGCCCTGGTGATCCACAGGGACACGTCACATCCGGGCTGTACAAGTGAATCTAAACTCACTTAAGATCTTTATTTTGCTAAATTTTCAGCCACCAAGAGATCTTCATTTCTCTCTTGTTTCCAGAGCATGTGGTCAAGCATTGAGTGAAATCACAAACATGTTCACAGAAAAACCTGTGAAACCAAATGTTCAAAGAAGAAAGGAAGAAGACTGACTCCCTTTGCACTTAAAATTCCTCCCTAGACTACTAAGTTCTTGTGCATTTGAATGAATTATCTACGAATCTCTGTTAGTGCTTAATTGGAAGATAGAGAAAACCACAAATGGTCTGACAAGAGAAGGCAGATGACATAGAAATATCTCTAGGCATTGAAAAGTTTGACAAGCAGAAGAGTTTGTGATTTGAAAGACAGCTAATGGGGAACATGAGTCAGCAAGAGATATCTAAAAAAAGTTAAATAATTAAGCTTACATAATAGGTATCTGACTACCTAGATGTGGATTTAATTAACATTTCTAACCTCTCTTTGTCAGTAACTATATATTACCCAATTGAAAAGTAGGGAGCGCTCATTATTAAAAAAATCAGTCATCTACATGTCTACGGATTTATTTCCAAATTTAGCTAAGCAGCTATTGTCCCCCAATGCCTTCTGTACACATACATGTGTACACACATGCAATGTGCACACAGACTCGTGTGCAAGCACACATGTGCACACAGAATCGCATCTTACAGTAGCTTTCTAAAAGGAGAAGAAATTGAGGCGATGGCTCCCTCAGTGTCACTGTCTATAGGTAAGTTGCAGTGTGCATAAAATCATGAGCTCAGCTCCTTGCCGTCTGCCCCGCCCTCCAGATCCTGAGCAAGATGAGGGGAAAGCTGAGCCTCAGCAAACCCGGTTACCCCTGAGTCTCTCCAAGGTAACAGGAGCTAAAGACAAACCACTAGGTGAAGGTCATGCAGGGAAGTATCAGCTCTACAAAGAGAAGAGACCTCCTCAGGGAAGGAAGAGCAGCTGGGGAGGGAAGCAGGGGGGAGACTCAAGTGGGATTTGTGGGCCCAGTAGAATGTGCCGCTGTCACGCTGGAAGTGTTTCCAGGGGCTCATGTCCCAGTCCTGGGTCCAAATCTGACCACATGAGCCCAAACATCCTAAACTCTTCAGGAAAAAAAACACATTGCTTGTTTTAATCCATGGCTCTCATGCACTTAAAGAAATCACACGCTCGTGGGCTCAAGGATTTTGAACATCTAGAAAGAGCAGGGGAGAGAAAGATTTCAAAACCCAGTCAAACTCTGCCATCACCCATCTCCTCATAGGCAAGTGCCCAGCCAAACAGGCAGGGCCTGGTGCTGAGCCGCCGAAGGCCAGTGGCAACCTTAAGTCACATAGGGGCAGGAAGGCCAGGCAGCCCTGAGGAAGAGTGGGGAGAGGAGAGATCTGAACTTCAAAATGTTTCCTCTAGGCCAGGTGATTCCTCACAAGATCAAGATGGCGATGCCAGTCTCTAAGGAGAGTCTGACCTGCTTGTCAGGGTTTGGAGACCCAAGGGTAGTGGCCCTGCCTGGGCTGAGCACTCAGAACTCTTCTGCTGGCTAGGCGCCGCCATTTTGATGTTTCATATGAAGCGCACAGAGCTCTAGGATGAGCCCCCTGGCCTCTGTGTTGGGGAGACGGCACGTGGCTTGGAGTCCTAGAACCCTAAAACAGGGCCGGGGTGGGCCGGGCCGCTGTGTGGCTCTTAGTTGATGACCCGGCGGGCACCATTGCTCACGTTGTGGGCTGGTCTGCGACCTGGTGAGGGAAGCCAGTCCTCCCACTCACAGTGTGGAGCCTCATGTTAGCCAGCAAATGGCATCACACCCTGCCCTGCCCCTCGTCAGAATTCTTCCGTGTCCCCTCCCTGCACCAGGGAATGGTCACCCCCAGGGCAGCTAAGACTGTCCTGAGTGTCTGAGGCCTCTTCCCGCGATGCGCGTCTTCCTTGCTTCATCTCCTGAGAACGTCCCTTCATTTTCTGATGCTCTGACTTCCACTTTCTCCGACTTTTCCACAGACCGAGACCCTGATCCTTTCTCTCACGTGGATCTTTAGGGGCTTCTCTCCATCCCCATAGTTCCCTGAGGAACAGCCCTCACCATAGGCCAGTCACTGCGGGTTGCCTCTGGTCTCCTGGTTACAGTGAAAGATGCAGCAATGGCCAGGGAGCCTATCACTCAAGGGGGAGCCACAGCACCCTGGGCAAGGCTTAGAACAAGACAGGTCCTCGCAGAGCTCTTAGTGACTGAATGAAATGGTGACTTAATTAGCCAGCTGTGAAGGTAGTTTCTTTCCTCAAAGAAATCAATGTGAAGCAATTAGAGGACACGCAGGAAGGGGTCCAGGATGCTACTAGCCCAGAAAGCTGCCTGGTCACCTCCCAACCCCTTCAGGTCCTGACACGGATGTCACCTCCATGAGGGCCTCATTGCTCACTGTTTCGGTATCCATGCAGGGGCGTCCCTGACCTACCAGTGAGCGCATTGTGGGAGGCCATCTGGAGCAGGAAGATGGTGGACATGAAATATGAGCATCACAGCCAGGGTCTGGGACACTACAGTTCAGTGCGCAAGTTTCAGGTGGGAGAAATATGTTTCGAGATACAAACAGGGAGAGACGCATCTCATGAATTGAGCTAATTTGGAGTAAACAGCCGGGAACCAAAAAAGGGTGCTGTTTCTGGGACCAGATGACTTTCCTAGCTCTGCAGTGTGTCTGGAAGAGTGGAGCCCCCATGCAGTTGGCTTACACTGGAGACAGATTCGGATCCTGCCATCCACTAACACTAAGTGGTGTTATACATCGGCCACAGAGATGAGCTCTAACTTACTGTAAATAGAACGAAGAGAGAGCTCTGTTGCTAAATTATTTATTGCACATTACATCTGGCCCAAGCGATGATGGTTTTAGGTTCCACCAAGGTAGCTGTGTAGAATCTATTATCCAATGCATAAAGGAAACTCTGACAGTTGGCATCGTAAAATATAAATTATATGCTCCTCAGCCCCCGACAGGCACAGGGGTTCCTCAGCCATGGCCCGGAAATAGATGTGAGCCTCTTCTCTCAAATGTTGTGTCCAGCTTTGCCATCAAGGCCCACCGATCAATTTAATTTTTCAGTTCTATGGCATATGTAAGAAGCTTCCCCTCTGCTTGCTGAGCCCCGCGGAGCTCCCAGCCCTGTGGAGGGTCTGGCGTGAGGGGAATCCTCTTAATGCAGCTAAATCCTTTATAAAGCTCCACCCACGGAAGCCAGCCTGGGAAAACCTTCCACAGTCAACTGTCTAAATAGGACACTTGCCCGCGGCTTCTTTTTGATAGACATGGGTATTTTTCTTTCCTGAGAAGGTACCTCCTTGTACCTCCTTGATTTTTTAATTTCCTTTCTTGACTTTATTTCCTTTGATCATCTCCTACTATCAGCTAAAAGGCAGGTGCATTTATTTAGTGATTCACGTAGCAAATACGTATCAATCCCCATTACGGGCGAAATCCCCACCTTCCCTCAGCAACCCCAGCTGCCTGGCCATCTTGACACCAGCCCCTACGCCAGGAAGCCCTCTTTCCCCTCTTTCCCTGGGTTTCCCTAGGGTCAGGATCCTTCCAGAACCTCAAGCAGTCCCCTTTCTCACTGGTGCCCCCCAAACCTCATGTGCGCACTCATCTGTCCTTCCACCCCGCCCAGCTCCCAACGCCCCACACTGAGCACTGCCAGGGTATTTGGGGGAAGTCTGTCTGCCTCTCTGAGCTACAAGCCCCCAGAGGCAGGTCTGCGTCCATTTGAAGCGTCATCCTGCAACTGACAAATAGCCACTCCAGCAGTGGCTTCCACCAAGAAGGCTTTCCCCTCCCTCACACACGGTCAACGGCTCTGCTCTAGCGGGCTGCCCCCAGGGGACCGGACTGTGTCCATCGCGTGGCTCTACTGTCTTTGGCGGACCGGGTCGCCGAGTGTTGGGGGCTGGCAGGGCCGAGGGGTACTCTGGGCCCTGTCAGCCGGGATGAGTCACATGGCTACCCAGGTGCAGGGGCTGTGGAGCCGCCCACATCCGCGCTCCTCCCAGCTCTGTCAGCCGAGGCACCTGGGAGGACAGTGAGGCCCTGAGAGGCAAAGGCCTAGCGGACTAGGCCTAGGGGTGGGGAAATAAATCATTAAAACCTGCTGATCCGGCAGGCTCGCTATCAATCCGGAGATGCTGTGGAGGCGCCAGTTCTGCCAGGGCAACAGGCTGGAGCGGGGAGGGTGAGCTGCTGAGAGGGCTGTGAATGGGTGAGGGGGCTACTGAGGGGGCTGTGAATGGGTGAGGGGGGCTGCTGAGGGGGCTGTGAATGGGTGAGGGGGCTGCTGAGGGGG